AGGGCCGGCTGCGAGAACAACGAGCCAAATCGCCCATCACCCTGCTGAGTGCTGTGGTCAGATTGGGAACGGAAAGACGGAGGCAGAGAGTGCAGCAAGCGGTGGTAGATGCGCAAAAGGGGGCATCTGGGATCAAGTGGCCGCGCAGGAGGCCGAGGGGGAGGAGAGCCGGTAACAGAGAACAGAAGTGCACAGTTGGCCACGCGACAGGCGTAAACAGGATGAAGAGAAAACGTGCAAGCAGGTGGGGAAAGGCACAAAGAAAGATGAGAAAAAGTGAGCAGGACCCGGGCTGAGAAAGGGAACGAGCAGAGACACCAGAAGGGAGAGGTGGAAGACGGGAGGACGAGAGGGCTTGAGGGGAACATTTGGGCGGAGAGAGAACCTGAGAGGGGAGACCACTGGGGCGGCCATGCGAAAGGCAGGGGTGTAACGAAGAAAGGGGGGAGATGGCACTATCACCCCACGGAGGGGGCAAGGTGGCAGGAAGGTGGGTGCGCTTTGACGGGGAGATACCCGTCTTGGTGCCGCCCCTGTGGTCCCACCAACCTAAGAGGCCACCAAGCACCCAATGCTCCGTTGGGCCCAGGGGAAACCCTTCGAGACGAGTCTAAAGCATGGCATACGAACATGCCCCAATCAATCTTCTATACTACCACAGTGTACTATAGCCTTGAAGTGGAACGTTTAATCTCATCACTCATCAAAGACAGCTGTCACGACACCACTGGGATCCAGGCTAAGCCTGTCTAAAGGATCGGACACCAGCCAACGTTCATTGCGCTTCGAAGCCGCGCGTTCAACTGACCGTTACCAAAGAGCTTGTCAGGGGTCACTCGGGCGAGGCGGGATTGCAAGATCACAGAGAGATCTTGCAGTTACTTGTCGCGGTGGCGGAGCTCCACAAGTTGGGCGCTTATTTTGCAACTGCCAGACAGATCGTGGCTCTGGAGCTTGCCGATCTCTCCTTCAGAGAGACTGTCAAGGACTCAACAATCAAACCATCGCCCCTCTCAGGACGAACTCTGCCAGATGCGAAATGCACTAGTCGGCCTGGTGACCAGTCTTCAAACTCCGACAACCGCTAACGAGCCATGCACACCATCTGGCAGAGAGGTCCTAACTTGTTCCGACTCGTGGGCATCATGTCTTCGCGAGATTAGTCTGCCACCTGGTGGCAGAATAACCTCGCGAAGACATGATGCCGACGAGTAGGAACAAGTTAAATTGGAAAGCAAGGGACCGACAAACTAGTCAAGACTTCGCCTTCTCCAGGCGAACTCTGCCGGATGCTATGTGAACACCTCGAAGACACATTGGCCTGAAGCGTCAATGTCGAGAAACTACCAAGCATCAGGGCAAATTCATCAACAAGCAGCCCCCTGCGCCTGCGGGAAAGGCCCAAAACTGGAATTACTTGCGATTCTTGAACAACAAGCTCTTTGCATTAACCCAAAGCCACCAAGCCATCATCCAGTAGCCCAGAGTGTGGACCGCAATGAGAGCTACCCAGGCCGCGTATCCTGTCTCGGAAACAGACGCCTGCGTGTACACAAGAATCCACGTCCCCACGTTGCGGAACAAAAGGTGGAAGACGAGGCCCTCCTCCACATGGCCATGCAAATGACAGCCAAAAAGCTGCCTAAGGCACCAGCAGCGAGGGGAGCGATCGGCTGTACGAGGCGCAGCCAGGTCCAAACATCGTGCCCGATCAGGAACGTGGCGATGTGGATCGTAAATGTAGCCGCGACGGCGATGCTGTCGGTCACATGCCGCCACTGTCCGTAGCGCACATCTCGCCGGTGATTGTTTGACACCAAAATCATTGCGCAAAGGCTCAGCAGCAACAGAGGATGATCCTGTGGATCAAGCAGCGAGGGATTCGGTAAGAAGATCCACCAATCATGTAGTACAGCACAAAATGGGTGGCACGCTCTCGACCGTCCTCGCCATCACGGAGGTGCCAGGATCCCCACGACTTCATCAGCAACTCCTGAACGTACGCGCGCTGCATAGCTGCGGGAGTCTCCTCGGTGAGAAGGAGTGGAGAGCCAGGGCTGGTGGGCGAATCGTCGCACTGACATGTCGACTTGGAACTCACATCGCTGTTCGCCGCTGTGGATGCATCGTCTAGGTCTGGCTCTGGCGATGTTTTCCGGCAGCCATCTGGCAAGGCCTCGAAGGGCTCAACGTCTGTCGAAGTAGACGCCAAGCGCAGGTGCCTCATCCTCATCTGTGGGGAGCATGCTAAACATATGCTGCAATGAGTCGCTTTCAAGAGCAAGAGCAGCGCTGCAGGAATCAGCCTTCCCGAATATCTACTTAATCTAGTTTAGCATTCAGACGCTGGGGGGGCACCGATAAACCAGATGCTTTGCAACGTTGTTGGTGAATGTTGGTGATGGGCTGTGGCCTCAATCCGCCTCCCCTTTCTGCCCTGCTCAAGCCCAACCGATGCTTTGCGGCCGTTTCCGTCTCTTCCATTTCTCTGATATTTGAATCTATTGAACTGCATCTTAAAAATAGCTAGAGTCTAGAGATATAAAAGTCAAATTCCTTCGTGCCGGGAGAAATGTGCGACTAGATCACTTTGAGTCGCTGCATCTACTATCCCGGATGCTGTCAGACTGTCATACTGTAACCTGCAAGTTTCTGCATTGCTCACCTTGCTGGAAGAACAGTCCAATCTTCGGGCGTTAAGCCAGCGCCTGTGACCTCGGAGCCACCACACAACGGATCTTTTTCGTTAGATTCGCCATGTTCATCGAGCAGCCCGGGACCCGGCTGGAATACGATGTTTCTGTGCAGAAATCGGGTTCTCTCCGGTGTAAGGGGTCCCGAGCTCGATGCCAGTCCGTGCACTGAGGGCAATCATCTTCTGAGAAGATGCGCAGCCGTGGTGAGACATCTAACGTCGTTGAGCATGTCACGGAGACCTGAGAAGAGGCAAGGGCATTGTCCGGCATGGTGCCACGGGGAGGATTGCCAACAAAGCTCGTCCATACCGTCTTATGCTCTCGATCCGAAGCCTGCAAACACCAAGCCTGGCAGAGGACAGGTGTACTTAGTGGAGTGTGTTGTCTACACATGAGTTTCCCTGAGCTCCTGGCAGCTCAATACAGGTGTCGTTGCACAGCCAGGCCCAGGGAAGCTAGTTCAGCTTCGTAAGCCTTGGCCTTGGGACACTCCGTCAGGGAACAGCTGATTCCGATGCGAGGAGACTTACGGAAGCAGGGGGCGAGCGCCTTTGCAGGGCTTGGCCACTCCCGAAAATTCCAACCCCAGCCGGTTTCCCCCTCACTTCCTCCGAACTCCGAACCCCCAGTCGATTTCGTTCGGCAGTGCGGTATCAAAAGGAGGAACAAAAGTACGTGCGCTTACACATCAGCTACCTGCTGCGAAGACCCGGCCCGAACAGCAAGCCGCAAAGCTGTCGAAACAAACAAATCAATGCGGTTTTGTTGTCTCTCGTGTCTCCAGGTAAACGTCTCACATCAGAAGCACTGGATACAGCGACGACTGTGCTTCTACTACTAGTACCATGAACCTGGACCGAATGCAGGTGTCACGCTGCGACGGTCTCAAGCAAGCCCGTCTGTGCTCCAGAAACTTGAAAACGACTGCACCCAGTAGATTTCGACCGAATGTCTTCGATGCACCTGCACCTCAGTCTTCCTCCTGCAGTGCACAGGACAAAAGACGGAATTGCAACAGAAATGCTTGGCTCCCGGCCTCTGCCTCATAAAGGTTTCTCAGCCTAGTTCCTGGACGGGATCGGCTTGGCCGCTGCAGTGGCTTGCTTGATCGATGACAACAAATTTTGAGATCAGTTCTGCTCACAAACCGTCTGGAGTCTGTATACTATATACGTCTGGCAACAAGCGCGAAACTCGCTCCAACCCGCCCGGCCCTTTAACTGCTGAGCGTCGTCTTCTGATCTTCAGCTCCTCGCTGCAGGAGTTCATCTCCTGCAACTCTGGCCGAGACGGCCCCAAATCTACCCGCAGGAGCACAATCAAACAAGGCCAGGCCAGCCGCCAGCCTGCTTGATGAACTCAGAACTACGCTTCTCTGTCTCCGCGAAGTCAAATTTCTGCTTGCCCTCGCGACGTGAGCGCGCGTGCTAACTTCTGCACACGCTCCTTCTGACAGCATCAGTGGAGTCTCCATGTAACGAAAGTGAGGCATGGCTCTTCAAGTTGACTATACAGGGTTCTCCCCAGGCAGTGCATGTTCTGCGGACTCGCTGTTGTGACACAGTCTGTGTTGGCTGTTGAAACTGCCCTCTGTGCTCTTGCCTGCTCTGAGACTTGATATCTAGAGTGGGCAAGGCTTGACAAGCATCAGAAACCAAGTCTCAAACTCGATTACGTAGGTTCCTGGTTGGGATTCTGGACTGGATCTGCAGATACCTCGCACGGTCACCTAGCCCGCAGGTAGGATGCATTACACTCCCTGGAATCCACCAAAGCGCGACCCAAAGCACGACATTCCAGTCAAAGGCGTCGCACGACATGAACTCATGGTTCTTGTGGCCCGTTCTCGCGAAGTGACAAATTGTCATGTGCCATCATTGCACATCAGAAATGCAAAGTGGAACGTGCAGCTTCCACTTCCGCAGTATAGCTCGCAGCCCTCAGGCCTCAAACCAGTGGGTGACCTGCGAGATTGCAGCCATCTTGGACGCATAATCCGCCGCAACAGCGAACTGGTTGTCCTGCAGGGATGATGTGAAGGTGCCCAAACGTGACTCCGCCATGACCACCCACATCAGACCACCATGGATGAGTGCCTTCTGGATCCGCTTCTGGATGAGAAAGTCCGGCCTGCTGCCAGTACACTCGAGCATCACTGGAGTGTCAAGCAGTGGATGCTGGTACTGATGCTGGTGCCAGACGTGGCGGTCCCTCAATTGAAACGCGAAAGTTCAAAGCTGCACTTCCACCACTCCCGCTGTACATCACCCTGTTCACTGATCCTTGCACGCTAATCTCGTGGGAAGTAATGTCGCTACGGACGCTTTACATTGATATGCTATGTTCTATACCTCGACAGCTCTGTTTCTTGCTGCCGGTCAGAATCGCTACCGCTGCGACGTCCTGAACCTGAACGCCCAGCCTCATCTTTCCCGGCATACTCCAACCCACCGCACCTGTCTGTAAAGCTGACAACAAGACGACTAACATCAAAAACGAGCATTTCGAAAAAAAAAACATCCGCGGCAGTAGTAGCACTGGCAACACCGGCGACAGAAAAAGTTGCTGTTGTGCAGTAGTACTCGTTGCCGAAGTAGTAACCGTGAATAATAGCAATAGCAATGGCGATGGTAATAGTGCCGGCAAAAGTAACAGTAATAGTCATGGTCATGTTAGCGAAGTGCTGTAGTAGTATGAACTGTGACTATAACTAGTAACAGAAATAATAACCACAAAAATTCTACAGTAGCAATAGCTATGGAAGCAGTATTAGCTGTGATTATGCGAGTCATAATTATTAGAACTCGTAAATGCAGTAGTGACAGAAACAGCAACAGTAGCAGTACTGGTAGTGGTACTATTAGTGGCAATATGTGGCAATGGTAGTGGTAGTAGCACTAGTAGTTGTTGTGGAAGCAGTAACAGTAGCAGCAGCAGTAGCACAAGTAGTAGTTGCAGTAGCAGTAACAGTAGCTGTAGCAGTAGCAGTCGTAGTAGTAGTAGTAGTAGCAGTAGTAGTAGTAGTAGTAGTAGTAGTCGTCGTCGTAGTCGTAGTCGTAGTCGTAGTCGCAGTCGTAGTCGTAGTCGTAGTCATAGTCGTAGTCGTAGTCGTAGTCGTAGTAGCAGTAGTAATAGTAGCAGTAGTAGTAGTAGTAGTAGTAGTAGTTGTTGTAGTAGTAGTAATAGTAGTAGTAGTAGCAGTAGCAGTAGCAGTAGCAGTAGCAGTAGCAGTAGCAGTAGCAAATAGTAGCAGTAGCAGTAGTAGTAGAAGTAGTAGAAGTAGTAGTAGTAGTAGTAGTAGTAGTAGTAGAGTAGTAGTAGAACAGTAGTAGAACTAGTACTAGTACTCGTAATAGTAGTAGTTGTTGTTGTAGCAGTGGCAGTAGCGGTGCAGTAGCAGTAGCAGTAGCAGCAGTAGTAGTAGCGGTAGTAGTAGTAGTAGTAGTAGTAGTAGAGTAGTGTTGGTGGAGGAAATCTTGCACCAGTTTGAGAAGACCAAGAATGCGAGTACCCCGCACCCCCTGTTTAACATTGAAGTCCAGTCCTGGGAAGGGCCGTGGGTTCCAATAACAAAATCTTGCACCAGCCACATGGCACACCATCATCAACATTAAACAGGGGGTCCGGGGTTTTGGTGATGGGCGATATCATGAGTCAACATCCAGGCGGTGCACGATTTCAGTAGTTAGTAGGTAGGAGTTAGTAGTTAGTAGCAGTAGTAGTAGTAGTAGTAGTAGTAGTAGTAGAAGTAATAGTAGTCGTCGTCGTGGTAGCGGTAGCGGTAGCCGTAGTGGTATAGTGGTAGTGGCAGTGGTTGTGGTAATGGTAGTGGTAGCGGTAGTAGTGGTGGTAGGGGGTTTGCGGGAAAGGCTGCTACTAGTGCTACTGCAACTACTGCAACCATGTGTACCGCTGCTCCAGCACAGTGGAAGCCGCTACAAAGCAGCAGAGTAAGTACTGTCACAAAAGAAAGCATTTTCTCGATGACATGATGACGACACAGCGGTAGCTGACAATGATGGTGATCATGGTGATGATGTTGTGGATGATGGTGTTGTTGACGATGATGATGATGATGATGATGATGATGATGCCATTGCTGATGTTCTGCTTTGCCGGGGCTGCAAATTACACCATTGTGCGTCATCAGTTTGACCCTCTCCGAGAAGCGAATCCAATCTATAATTAACCTGTCAAAACTCTTGTCCAACCAAGTCAAGTTTACGTAGGTTGCGCGCTGATGACCTAGAGCAAGACGTTTATGTCCACGACACGCCCACGCAAAAAGCCAAGCACAGGAAGCCAAGCACCCTCATTTGATCGAGTTCTTAGGGTCTGCGAATAATTCCCTGCTGTGCCTTGGAAGGTGGGAGCCTCGGGCAACGAGCGTATCTGGACGTGGGGCAACCCTCTCGAGACTTAAGCCGAACATGTTGCCGGCGTACAGTCTGAGGCCGTCGGGTCGTTAGGGGCGCGTGCTGTGATGCTTGACGCAACATGGTCACAACACTGCTGCTCCTGATACTGCCACTGCTATTGCTACTGCGACTGCTACTGCTACTGCCACTGCCACTGCTGCTGCTAGCCGCTGCTGCTCCTGCTCCTGCTCCTGCTCCTGCTCCTGCTCCTGCTCCTGCTCCTGCTCCTGCTCCTGCTCCTGCTCCTGCTCCTACTCCTTCCCCGTCTCACCCCTACTCCTACCTGCCGCGTACGCCTACGCCTACGCAAACTCCCTACTACTACTACTCCTCCTCCTGCTGCTGCTCCTACTCCGCCTACTCCTATTCCTACTGCTATTGCTACTGCACTCCAACTTTTCCTTGCACGGCGACGACGGCTACTAGTACGAATGCTACTGCTACTGCTACTGCTCCTCCTACTACTACTCCTCCTGCTGCTGCTGGTGCTGCTGCTCCGGCTACAACTACTACTACTACTACTACTACTACTACTATACTACTACTACTACTACTACTACTACTACTACTACTACTGATACTACTACTACTGATACTACTACTACTACTACTACTACTACTACTACTGCTACTACTACTACTACTACTGCTACTCCTACTACTACTCCTACTACTACTTCTACTTCTACTTCTACTTCTACTTCTACTTCTACTTCTACTTCTACTTCTACTACTTCTACTACTACTGCTACTATCATACCACCACTACTACTACTGCCACTACCACTACCACTACCA